TACAAGTCTCCACCACCACCGGTTTACAAGTATAAGTCTCCACCTCCACCCTACAAGTATCCTTCTCCACCACCACCACCATACAAGTACCCATCTCCTCCACCCCCAGTCTACAAATACAAATCACCTCCACCGCCAGTTTACAAGTACAAATCACCTCCACCACCATACAAGTACCCATCTCCTCCACCGCCACCGTACAAGTACCCCTCTCCACCACCCCCAGTTTACAAATACAAATCCCCTCCACCCCCAGTTTACAAGTATAAGTCTCCTCCTCCTCCTGTTCATTCACCACCTCCACCACACTACATCTACGCATCCCCGCCTCCTCCATATCACTACTAGATAGTGCTTTTGCATAGTGTTCCTCGTGGTAATCTTCTACACAAAACCTACATTATCGTAATAATCATGTAATATTTACGTTAAAACTCTCTTTACATGCAATCACGTGCAAGCTATATCAGGGTAATGTTCGGCCTAAGTTGCAGTTTACAAAGTAAACTAATTATCCGAAGTATGTGCGTCAACACTCTTTTGTTTCGATCGAACAAAACTTTCATTTTCTTTTTAAATTTCAAAATTTTAAATTTTGGTTGTTGACCATAGGAATCATGGTTTCAACTTCCATTTTTTTAATTAAATTTTTTAGAAGTTTAAGGATTTTTTTTTTTGTTTATTTCAAGTTTATTAGAAACAAATTAAGCATATTTTTTTAAGCGTACTTTTATTATTCTTAAAAGATGTTAACCTTTTATCTTTTTCAAAGCTTTTATGGCGACTTACCTTTTTCAAGGGTATAACCGCGATAGTACTACAATTTCTTACTCGAATTTAACACCGTATACAGTATCGTATACTTTTTACTTACATGTAACCTTTTGCGTATATAGTTATAAATACTCTATCAACACTTTTCATTTTTTTTCTCACACATAATATTATTAATTATATTACATACATATTTCTCTTTCTTTTTTCTTTATTTAGATATCTAAAGAGTGTTGGAGATTTTTTTTTCTTCTTCGTGTACATACATATTTTAAGGATAAAAATCCAAAACCAAAGGGGAAAAAAAGTATATTAATAATCTAAATAACAACCGTTTTGCCTGCATTAGTATACGAGGGAGAAGTATTTCTTGACATTATTGAAGGAATAACCAGTGAAAGGGACTGTAGACTATTATGCTAACCATGTGCATGTACTTTGTAGGTTATTTATGAAGAATATGTGCCAATAAAGAACGTTGTTGATAGAAAGAAGATGCATTTTGCATTCCCACAAGGAAAACAACGGAAGCAAAGTTTCCGAGCGTTTTGTCTCATAAGAAGAAAGACGTGTGTCAATCCTTTTCTTTTTCGTTTGTATTGTTCATCCATTATTATTGTATTTTTATACAGTTGTAAGGCACTTCTTTGCTTTCTCTAATTGAACATCACATGAATGCATTTTGGTTGTGAAGCAAACTTAATAATAAATAAAAAAGAATGCTTTCTCTCTTGCCCTTTGTATATTTTCTAGATCAATTCTACAATTAATATATTTTTAGAGTCTTTTCAATAATACTAATTTCATTTACACAGATAATAAAATGGTAGTTTATATTTAGTCCGACTTCTTATGTACTAATAATTGTGGTTTTATTATTAGATTAAATGAAGTCTTCGAAATTTAATGTTTAGAATCTTCTCTTTTAGTCACGTTTAAATTTTGTGGTCACGAATAAAAAGTAGGATCGATTACATGCATGATACGATGCACGGACTTGTCATCTTGTCATTGACATATTTGTCCGTATTATGCATACAATTCTTTCAACAAGAAAAGATATTATATTTAATATGAAATTTGAATATTATAACAACAAATTAACAATAAGTATATTAAGATAATTATAATTTAAATACTATTGCAAAGTGGATGTTATAAAAAAGATTGTTGGGATAGTGTAAATTTATAGTAATCTTTAACAAATTATAAATGTAAAAGAGAAAGTCTTGTTCCCCCTAAAAGGTGAATCCTTTGATCTTCTCAATGTGAACAAATATCCAATAAAGCATTTTATAATTATGTAAAAATGTGGTGCACTCAAACTCTTTGGTACGTCGAACTTATATTATGGTAAACAGATATATGTCGTTTTCTTTCACATTGAATGAAATTTAACCATGTGAAGAATGACTCAAATGAATGTGAATAAGTTGTTGAAACTCCTAACTTCAGCTGTTTATAAAAAATATAAATCCAATTAGTAGTGTTGTATAAAATAATATTAAATAAAATAATATAATAAAATATTGTTTCAAAAGATATATTATTAGACACCATAAGTGTTGATAGGAGAGCAATGTAAACTCAATCCCTGTGTAATTTGTTTTTGATGATGACAACAACAAAAATGTTTATATATGTTTCTTGCAACAACATGCGAGTTTTAATCGATTCAATACCTAATGTAATCGATTCAAACTAGTTGTTTTGCCACAATTCAAAACATAAGTTGTCTATAATATTGTAATTGATTCTGTCATGCAAATATGCTTTTGTGCTTCTGGTTTTAAATACACATAAACATACAATGTGCATACACAAATATAATCACATCATAATCACAAGAGTATGCATGATTCACACAGTATGTCCAACATATGTATTTGTCATAGTATATGCATTTATCATAGTAAGCATATACAAATTCACATATGTATAACACAACACAGAAACACTTTTCTATTGTGACATTACAATATTTATGTGTTGTTGCTATTAATGTGTTGTCATCATAAAAAACAACACTATAGGGATTGGGTTCAGCTATTACAATGCTCCCCCTATCAACAACTGCCATATCTGAATCAAGGGATTTGACTTCCATGAACATGGCTACACTGTTTGACAAACTCAAGGAGCATGAGTTGGAGCTTAGAAGAGTGATAGAGGAAGAAGAAACTGTTCGGAAGCATTCCATAGCTGTCAAGATTTCCAGCAAGAAAGCCTCATGAAGAAATGATACATATCCTGATTCTGATGCAGAAGTACTAGAAAAGGAAGCACTTAATATGATGGTAAAGAAATTTACTAAGTTCATGAAATCTAGAAACAATGCATCTGATTTTTGTAGGAAATTCAAAAGGAAGCAAAAGAAGAGGAAAGACTGCTAATCCCATTGTTCAACCTTAAAGTAGAAGCAGAAAATTGAGGAAAAGCTCAATCAAGACAGGAAGCAAAGAAGATCTTATATTGCATGGGAAGATAGTGATTCTGAAGGTACATCTAGTGATGAAGACAATCAAAGTCTAGAGGAGGAGACAAATTTGTGTCTCATGGCTGGATCTGTTCGTTCTAAAAGCAGTGGCAACATATTTGAAGATGAACCAATTGAAGACAGGTATTATCAATTGTTGGATGCTTCTCAAGAACTCCATGCAAAGGCAATGAAGCTTAAATACAAGTTTAATCGATTAAACAATGAAAGAAAAGATTCTGAATATAGGATTGATAACCTTGTTGAAGAAAATGATAAATTGAAAATTGATCTTATTGCTTCTCTACAATTGCTGAGAATGCTAAATCTGAAAATAAAATTGTTGAAAAAGATTGCAAAGATTGTCCTGCATACTTAGAAAAGATCAAGTACCTAGCGAGCACATTATCAAAATTTACTCTTGGTATATCAAACTTAGAAGTTGTTCTAGGATTTCAAAGAAGGGTAATTAACAANGGAATAACCAGTGAAAGGGACTGTAGACTATTATGCTAACCATGTGCATGTACTTTGTAGGTTATTTATGAAGAATATGTGCCAATAAAGAACGTTGTTGATAGAAAGAAGATGCATTTTGCATTCCCACAAGGAAAACAACGGAAGCAAAGTTTCCGAGCGTTTTGTCTCATAAGAAGAAAGACGTGTGTCAATCCTTTTCTTTTTCGTTTGTATTGTTCATCCATTATTATTGTATTTTTATACAGTTGTAAGGCACTTCTTTGCTTTCTCTAATTGAACATCACATGAATGCATTTTGGTTGTGAAGCAAACTTAATAATAAATAAAAAAGAATGCTTTCTCTCTTGCCCTTTGTATATTTTCTAGATCAATTCTACAATTAATATATTTTTAGAGTCTTTTCAATAATACTAATTTCATTTACACAGATAATAAAATGGTAGTTTATATTTAGTCCGACTTCTTATGTACTAATAATTGTGGTTTTATTATTAGATTAAATGAAGTCTTCGAAATTTAATGTTTAGAATCTTCTCTTTTAGTCACGTTTAAATTTTGTGGTCACGAATAAAAAGTAGGATCGATTACATGCATGATACGATGCACGGACTTGTCATCTTGTCATTGACATATTTGTCCGTATTATGCATACAATTCTTTCAACAAGAAAAGATATTATATTTAATATGAAATTTGAATATTATAACAACAAATTAACAATAAGTATATTAAGATAATTATAATTTAAATACTATTGCAAAGTGGATGTTATAAAAAAGATTGTTGGGATAGTGTAAATTTATAGTAATCTTTAACAAATTATAAATGTAAAAGAGAAAGTCTTGTTCCCCCTAAAAGGTGAATCCTTTGATCTTCTCAATGTGAACAAATATCCAATAAAGCATTTTATAATTATGTAAAAATGTGGTGCACTCAAACTCTTTGGTACGTCGAACTTATATTATGGTAAACAGATATATGTCGTTTTCTTTCACATTGAATGAAATTTAACCATGTGAAGAATGACTCAAATGAATGTGAATAAGTTGTTGAAACTCCTAACTTCAGCTGTTTATAAAAAATATAAATCCAATTAGTAGTGTTGTATAAAATAATATTAAATAAAATAATATAATAAAATATTGTTTCAAAAGATATATTATTAGACACCATAAGTGTTGATAGGAGAGCAATGTAAACTCAATCCCTGTGTAATTTGTTTTTGATGATGACAACAACAAAAATGTTTATATATGTTTCTTGCAACAACATGCGAGTTTTAATCGATTCAATACCTAATGTAATCGATTCAAACTAGTTGTTTTGCCACAATTCAAAACATAAGCTGTCTATAATATTGTAATCGATTCTGTCATGCAAATATGCTTTTGTGCTTCTGGTTTTAAATACACATAAACATACAATGTGCATACACAAATATAATCACATCATAATCACAAGAGTATGCATGATTCACATAGTATGTCTAACATATGCATTGGTCATAGTATATGCATTTATCATAGTAAGCATGTACAAATTCACATATGTATAACACAACACAAAAACACTTTTCTATTGTGACATTACAATATTCATGTGTTGTTGCTATTAATGTGTTGTCATCATCAAAAACAACATTACAGGGATTGAGTTCAGCTATCACAGTGCTCCCCTTATCAACAACTGCCATATTTGAATCAAGGGATTTGACTTCCATGAACATGGCTACACTATTTGACAAACTTAAGGAGCATGAATTGGAGCTTAGAAGAGTGATAAAGGAAGAAGAAACTGTTCAGAAGCATTCCGTAGCTGTCAAGATTTCCAGCAAGAAAGCCTCATGAAGCAATGATACAAATGCTTATTCTGATGCAGAAGTACTAGAAAAGGAAGTGCTTAACATGATGGTAAAGAAATTTACTAAGTTCATGAAATCTAGAAACAATGCATCTGATTTTTGTAGGAAATTCAAAAGGAAGCAAAAGAAGAGGAAATACTGTTAATCCCATTGTTCAACGTTAAAGCAAAAGCAGAAAATTGAGGAAAAGCTCAATCAAGACAGGAGAAAAAACAAGCAAAGAAGATCTTATATTGCATGGGAAGATAGTGATTCTGAAGGTACATCTAGTGATGAAGACAATCAAAGTCTAGAGGAGGAGACAAATTTGTGTCTTATGGCTGGATCTGTTAGTTCTGAAAGCAGTGACAACATATTTGAAGATGAACCAATTGAAGACAGGTATTATCAATTGCTGGATGCTTCTCAAGAACTCCATGCAAAGGCAATGAAGCTTAAATACAAGGTTAATTGATTAAACAGTGAAAGAAAAGATTATGAATATAGAATTGATAACCTTGTTGAAGAAAATGATAAATTGAAAATTGATCTTATTGCTTCTCTACAATCTGCTGAGAATGCTAGATCTAAAAATAAAATTGTTGAAAAAGATTGTAAAGATTGTCCTGCATACTTAGAAAATATCAAGTACCTAGCAAGCACATTATCAAAATTTACTCTTGGTATATCAAACTTAGAAGTTGTTCTAGGATTTCAAAGAAGGGTAATTAACAAGCAAGGAATAGGTTACAATGCTAAAAGTGAAAGAATTAACTCAAAGTAATTTACTGATTTGAGTAAACCTTCTACTGTTACCTGTTTCTATTGCAATAATATTGGTCACACTATTAGATCTTGTTATTACAGGAAAGTTGTTGTTCCAAAGGGAAAGTTTAAATGGATTCCCAAAGAACCAACTACTGTTACTAACAG